ACAGAGGCTCTCTGAAGGTACAAACGCATTATTACAAACACCATACAAAAAGCAATACCTCTGCTTTCTAATCAGCTGCATCATCAGGGTGGGCTTTTGTGACAGTGATGCTACAAAACACTTGATTTCTTTTTTTTAAACAGAAAACTGGCATATTTTCCATCACCCTCTACCGTTTTCCCACTAAACCCCAATATTTAATTATTTACAATCCTCACCACACTTTGAAATGAAAAAAGGATGGAGGGATTTCCTTGCCTGCAGTTCATCATGTTCTCTGGAGACTGCTAAACCATTCCTTCCAGGGATGACTTTTATCCCTGGCTCCTACAGATACTTCCTGAAGAGCAAACGGTTTACACGTATTTTTGTTTGGTTTGGTTTTAAAGTAAGCTCAGGGGACATACTCCCAGAATACGGAGCCACACTTTCTCCCCCTGCACTGCTGCCATTGCCATTCGTGAATTTGCTCAGCTCAGAGGCTGATGCCGAGAAGAGGATGGATAGCAGTCTCAGTGATTCATTTTAAGGATTACTTTATGTCCTCCCATGACATTTTCAGCCTAGAAATACTGTCCTGCTGGAATAGACAAATATAAATAGCAAAATACACCTTGCAAAGGATAGCAGGGTAACCTTTGGCTTCAGTGGACAATGACATGGCCTTAAACAGGCACAGGAGCAAAATCACTGTGTGGGATATTCTCCCAGTCTTTGTCAGCAAAGCCATGAACTCATATATCCCATGTTTACACACTGCTAACAGGCCAGATTTCATTTACCATTAAAAGCAAACCAACAAAATAAAATTTTAATGCGAACATTAAGATGTTCATAGACTGACTGACCATGAAATCTGATGGACTACAATCCCATGCCCTCCTTCCTCTGTCTCCTACTGCGAAGCATTCTCACTCATTCAGTCATTAAATTAGGAATAATCTAGCAAACGCTTAAGCGTGTGCACTCTCACATTCCTCCTATAAGGCCTGTGCTTTTAATGTAAACACTACAGAAATGGACACCTGAGGCAAGCTGTGAGGCACCACCGTGATCTGATCCCTGACTGCAGCCCGGAGCCCAGCCTTTGGCATGGCCCTTGCATTTGGCAGCCCCATCCCCTTCCCTTGCGCAGCACTGGCAGCACCACCACCACTCCAGGCAGGACTGCACCTTTGGTTTTGCTGTGTAAAATGCTTCACGCACTGCCAGTGGCAGCACAAGCTCTTAAGAGCAACAAATACGCTCCTTGGCTAATTCCACTCTTCTAACTGTAAATTAGGATAAAAGTTATTTAAAATAAAACCTTGTTTTAACACATTTTTCAAAACATAAAATGAGAGAACATGAATCATGAATAATGTATCTGTCAAGATTTGCTTCAGATTGCCTTTTTTGTTTGTTTATTTTTTAATTCATGAGCACAGAAGTCACTTAAAGTCTGGAAACAAATTAGCATAGTCTTTCATGCCGTTCAAAGGCAGCAGAATCCATAATGCGAGGTGCTTGCCTTCCTCGCTACCTCTTGGCCCTCCTTCTGGGCATGGGCAAGACTGTGCAGCCTTCAAGGGTCTGATGATTTTACACTGCTTACTATGATTGCTTTTGACTACTTGAAGCACCCCTAAGGTGGCAACAGGGTCAAGAGGTCTTTGTAGGTTAAAAATGATCAAAAATTAACATTGATCTGTAGCTACCAATAATACTCTGTGTGGGTGGACCCCCTGCGCAAATGTTTAAACTGCATACAACTACACAACCTAGTCATCTTTGAATCTATCGATCTGATGAAGCAGCACTTTCCAGTAGTGTCACTCTGGGCTTTTCCTCTTTTTTCAAGTCAGGCCACCTTACCCAGTTGCCCAGGTCTCAGGGCATGAGTTCAAGATGTGACAGATACATCAGAAGATCTCTGAACCACTGGAGAGCTGCCCAACGGGCAGCTTGAGTATCTGTCCCTTCTTCAGGGTAATCATCAAAACTCAGCAAGTCGTCAACAGTCATGTTGAGGTTAGGCTCTGCTTTCTTCTCTCTCCCTATCTTCTCTTCACACAGTAATCCCTATTTGGCAGGTATCTTCAATATCTGATTAAAAAGCTAGCTCATTCTTTCTGTGAGTAACTAAACTCAGTGGCATCAGACACTACCACACTGCTAATGGTAGTAGTGGTACAGGGATCCAAACCTGTTCTTTCATAATGCCCAGACATAAATGATGGCAAGGTAATTCGGTATGACACGCCCTTGTCTACAGAGGCAGAGATGCTGAACTCTCCCTGGACAAAGGAGGAGAAAGCTAAGGTCTCCTGGCAGTCAGAATGTTAATCTGACCATCCTCCAATGACAGTTTTCAAATTCTCCATCAAGGAAGTCAAACAGATTCCTCCACAAGTGACAGAAGCGATGGGGAATGCTTGGCGTTTTACTAAGATACTCAGTTTATCCTCACCTTTGTCATTATCCTCTTATCCATCTCCCCATCTAATCCAGATTCTTTGCCATTTTCTGCAAAGCAGTGGGAACGCTTCCACCTTGACTCTGACGTTCA